AATATAAAATCCGAAACGTAAACGCCCATAGACTACACATAATAACAGCGATCCCTCCGTACAAGTACCCGCCCCTTAATCGCGTTTTTCACTTGACAACTTCAAAGGTGATGTTTCACCTTCTAGTTGAAATAAAGTTTACGCGTTAACCGCGGTTTATTTCGAAATTAATATAATATAGACGCATAATTAATAACGGATGAATTATTAATGTAATAATATTATAATGCATACTAATCAAAAACAGTACAAGTGCCCTCGCACTAATCCCTCCTATACCGCCGAGACTTAAGAGCGACTGTCCCTTATAATCCACCAAAGAAGCGAACGCGTGGTATTGTAATCATCAGCTTAAATGTTTAAATATTCTAACGTACAACTTACAAGTACTAATTTCAATAAATTTCCACCTGTAATAATATTAATGTATGGTGATCGGCGCCGTTAATAACCACAACTGCCTACCTACCAGTCTAATTAATATTTTATTCTAGAAAATTGTGTCGGAAGTAGCGTTAGACCGAAAAGAGGCAGCTCCTTTGTGTTTGATGAGTTTTTTTAATTTTTACAAAACATAAGTCCATATGAACGTCTTATGCTCCTTCATGCGTGAGACGATTCAAATGGTCGTCTTATAAGTTATGATATTATTAAAGCTCAGCTTATACCTTTTGAGTGCACTACTTAATAGTGTATGGATAACGATTTTTCTGTATCAGAACTCATAACGATCAAATTCACAAGAGTAGGACCGAAGACAAGGGCCGGGGTCGAGGTGTCTAGCATCTAAAAAATAATCAAATAATTTTAATGTGCAAACGCCGTGTCATATCGGTTTTTACAACTTGCACTGAAACGCCGTTTTTATTTGTTGCCTTTCTGTCAAAGATCTTGGCCTCGTAAATATGTGCGGCGCACGCGCTCGACAACTTTATTATAAGATGAATTATTTACATTTTTCTTACATATTTTGACTTCAAAAACCAATTCAAGACGTCAAAATAATAAAAAGAAATCGGCAAGTTCTAAGTAATAAGGTTTATGTATAAAACAAAACAATACACGTCGTTTGTCCATCATATAATAAAGTTTTAAACAGCATAGCTGGAATACACATTTTTTTGTCAATCAATCTGTTAACGATGGAGGATTTTATTTTATAATCATTTATTTATCGCAACGGGTATAAAGTATAGAACTCGTTTTGGAGTACAATATAAGTAAAATAATTGTAATAAAAGAATTAACACAATATTTTAAAAACAATATTTTTTTTTTGTACAGCATAACTTAAAAGAACAAAATTCATTCCATTGTTTTGATGGTGTAGACGATTTGTCGTTTAATCAGAGAAAACACTGTGTAGAGAAAAAACCGACCACGCGACGGTGAGACGGTAATGCATATTATAATAACGTGAAAGACCAAAGACAAATGAAATAAACAAGTGAATACTGCTTTGTGATCTTAACGGAAGGACTGAAAAGGCCCAGTAAATGCGCCTAGTCGGCTATAAAACAATTTATCGCTGACAAGTCGTGAGCTTATGAAATTTTTGTTATTGCCCAACAGTAGTATATTACCGCAGCGGTTAATAGTAGGTCAGGAGGTGAGGTAGGCAAGAGGACGACGGCTTCCGGTCGAGCGGAAAGAAGCCACCGGAAGTTAAAGACGCCCAGTCGAAGGTTACGACTAAAAAACCGCGAACGTACCTTTTATTATTATTTTATAGCAAAAAAATAATACAGCATTCTTCAACCGCGTATATTTAGGTACAAAAACAAGTAAGATTTTTTCATTAATATTTGATTTATATAATTAGATTGAATGAATGAAGCGTTAAAAAAAAAACGACGCGACGGTTTCATAAAAAGTATTAAGCGGTGACATTGTTTTAATTGTTATTACAATTACCATCAGTTAGCGTCATTCATAAAGTCGAAAAGCGCCCTTAAATATCCATAAGTAAGTTCTTATTTTTGTGTATTGTTTTTTTTTTAACAAGGATTATATTATAATTAAGTTTGAAAATAAAATATTGACGAGTAATTAAGTATTTTAATTACGATCGACCGAGATTAGTAAAAATAAATTTAAAAAAAAAAAATGTAATAAACGAGCAATAAACTCGATGGCCAAGTTATTTTTCATTAAAAGCAGCTGCTTACGCAAAATATAATAGCCCGACAAAAGTCCGGAGAACATAATATTAGAAGAAAAAAAAAATACAATGAAAAAAGTTTCGACTGGGGAATTATAAATTATAGTTAGCGAAAACTCAAGCACTTAAACTTTATGGGTTTAAATAAAATAACAGATTATGTAAATAATTATATACCTATATACTATGATTTTCACTAAAACAAACAAAACGTAGGTACGCTACATTCGTATGGAAGTAAAGAGTTTTAAATGAATAAGTAATATTTTTGTTGAGAAAACAAAGCGCCGATATTACCTTGTAAGTTACACGTTGTATTTTATTTGTCGGTTATAACTGCAGTCATTTATCACACATTTGGAACAGTAATATACGGAGTTGGCTAAAACATTATATTTTAACTTTCATTTTTCAACGTGATGGGCTAAACGTTTTGTCAATCGTTATACTATATTTTTTAAACTAGAAATTGGGATGTTAATATGTACTTATTATACAGTGATTGTGATTGTTTCGGCCGTGGCCGTACATCATCCGCAGCTAATAATGTGTACTTAAGTAATTACGCGTTATGTTATAAGTTATACAACACAAAACAAAACACCTAACCACCTAACCTTAACGGGTAAATAACCGAAACGAGTTTTTTTTTTCCAAGACATATTATGCGTTAATAATGTATTAGTGAACATCTGGGAACATCTGGGGTCAAACATTTTTCATTTAAAATAAATGAATATAATAATTCTGTATTAACTATTATATTATTGCTCATGTTTACCAACAACGACGCAAATTAATTAATTTACAACATTATAACAGAATATATTAGTAACATAATTCTTGGCCGTCGGGACGGAATGCTTCTTGAGAAGTCAAATACGACGTCCCACGATAATTTGCTAATGACAATTTCTCATACAATCGGTTAGGAAATTCGGGAAATTATAAACAATTACAGTAAATACAAATCCTCTCATGGGGCATGTTGTGCACACAGTGTGGGTAGGTATATATTGTCATCTAATTTGGTGAAATTCGAGAAAATACGATATTTGCACGCGACTCGAGAATCTGTGTAATTTACCAACAACAGGACCGCACAGTCTTCGTCAAAGAGTAAGATTCGGTCACGAAGAGAACGCACATAATAATATGATATGTATACATTGTGTACACCGGCCACTCGTGTTAGAGCACAATTATTATTATTACAAAATAGGTATGTCGTTTGACACGTCCAAAAACGAAATGATATAATTACGATTTATGGCGGCGTTAAATTACAAATAAATATAAATACAGCTTTTTATATCTTAGACACCGGTTATCTTATACATTAATATTATAACCCGTTGCGGTGAATAATTATAATAAGAATTAAACGCCCGCGGTAGCGTCACTTTACGAATAGTAATAATATAATATATTTTAAAGCGTGTACACATATACACAAAGGATAAGTGCGCGCATACCGTATTATTATATACTAACTGTAAATAACTGTAGACGTCATTTATCAGGACTACCGGATCTTATCCGGTGATGTATGCTAAGACTATTCCGCTAACCTAACCACTTAGATATTGTCGCGTCAGCCACGAGTAAACTTCGAAGGTATACCGACGTATTAGGTATATGTTTTATTCTCCGGCCAATCTTGTCGGTCATTTGGCCGTTAATAGCAAACCAATAAATGTGTAAAAGTAATGATGAAAACTGTTTGTATGTACTTCAAATACCTACAATATGGTATAGGCAGGAGAATGTCGGCGGTTTTGAAGTTTAATAGTCGCGATACCGCGCCAGGACAGATGGAAAAAGGGTTTGGCCGGGCCACGTTAATTGTGCACGGGACGGATAGACAGATAAAGCGGGCAGCAACGGAAGAGAAAAAGACAGACATAGTAATTGTGTATATAGTATACATATATATATATATATATATATAATACAAGAAAGGGGGATTGGACATGGATAACTTAATCCGACCGACGCAAGCGAGAAATCGTTGGGAGAAAACGATCTCCGATAGGTTTCAAATTAAATTACTGCTATTGCCGATGAACCTTTGGATTAGCTTCGTATATATATATATATTATATACCCTTCGATGGTCTAAAATCTAGAGGAAACAATCGAAACCACAGTACGTTCCACAATAATTTGAACCCGATTGTTTCTCTGCAGTAAATCCGGTTTTATTAAAATACACAATATGGCACCGTAGCCGGTAGGTATGACCGGGATTACTCGACGAATTTTTAACTTTTTTTTAATTTGAGTCACAGGAAACTATTTACTTTAGAATAACTATATCGGTTTTATTTAACAGACGGCGCGGCACCTCGATAATTGGCCATTTTAGAAAATCTAATAGCTGTATGCTAAGTGATGCATACTCAAAATATTATTATAAACATGTGACAGTACAATACAATGTATGAACGACGGTCGTGTCAAAATCAACTAATATAGTAAATACCACTTCACTCTTGACATCACGTTTAAAAATGGTAACTTGTCAACCGATTTACACTTTAAAGAATATAATAATAAATAATAATAATAATTGGAAAAATCAAATCAAGCACTCGTAATTACGTTATAGTGCCTAAAATTAACTCAATTAAGAAAATATAATCTCTAATACGTTATCTTATATAACATACCCATACAATAATTTTACTAATGTAAATTGTAAATATATCTAATATAATATTTAGTTAATATAATAACAAATAGAACTCTCCAATCTCTCTAGTACATATGAGAAACAAAATTGTTTTTGTAACAAGTTCTACAATTGTATAATATAAAAAATTGAATTCAATCTTACCTTAAAAACGTCTTAATTGTGACTCGTTTGTGTAGTTTTAGACATTTTGTGTTGGGTGACCTGCAACAGTAAAAAAATTTAATTTATAAATGCACAAAATAATTCAGAAACTCGCTACTGTCTCTATATTAGATTTTCTATAAATTTAAGGCATTTTCTTCTTCGGCGAAAAAAGGATACTTTTGTGTTATGAAGGATGTTTAGGTACAAACGTCCTTCATAAAGAGAAAATGAAATTCCGATGTCAAAAATAAGATTTTAATTAAAAAAGAAACCCGCTCGCTATTTTCAGAAAAAATGATTTAAGACTAAAACGAACTTTTCTTTTTTTCTTTGTCAAACTCCTGACCTCATAAAACTTGTATTCATAACCAAATTTTATAGAAAAAAGTGAACATACTATAACCATTTCCCGTTCAACAATAATATGCGTCAAACTTTATTGTTCTTCGACTCTAATTGCCAAAGCTAATAAAAGTTAGCTCAAAGTTATTTGTATACTTATTTACTTTTTACGCATTTTATTCCTTTTAATATATTATACAAAATGTCGAAATCACGAATTTCATAGCCTTAGTGGTTACAGTAATAATCACTGGTTAGTGAAGCCATATAAATAATAAGTAATAAACAAATTCTAAAAAATAAAATAAAAATAGTTGAATGTCATTCTAACAATATTATATGCTCCAATAAGCATTATTATTTTGTTTGAAAGGAAATATTTTGCTAGTATTTATAGGTATTTTTATTTTTTATTTTATATATTAGCTTTTATAAAAAAATGTATACAACATATATTGCGTTGGTTAAAATATATATTATAAATCATTTGAATTGAAAATTAAAACATGGTGACTGACAGAATGGGTGACATGTTAAAGTAGCTGTGTTTCACGTGCAAAACGAATGGGCGGATAGGAAGGCGTCGGCGTCGAGTCACGGGAAGATAAAATTAGATTAGGTTAATTATATACCAGTTAGTGTAAAGTTAATGTCAACTAGAATAAATTCGAAGAAAAAATTTCATCGAACTAAAGGGCGTTGTTCCCACGTTAGTCTCATTGGGCAATCAGGATTTTCAAAATTTTAAAAATCCTCAAACCCAATTGCTTTAAAATGTGATTTTTAGGTTAAGAGGCTTCGGTTTAGATCATTCTGTTTTAGAGATTTTGGATTTCCAAAAACCTGAAATTCCGGTTTTGGCCCAATTATTCTGATTATGATGATCCAATCATATCAATCTCCTCCTCGTGTGGACATGATGCGGTCGTTGGAACAAACCACCAACATTAGTATTTTTTCTATAAATCGATACGATATAATATAATAGAAATATATACAATTAGTATGTGAACACATAATGCTGTGGACATTAATATTGTGTTCATTTGTACGGATTGGGTTATAAAACTGTATGCGAATACACAGCTAGAATGGAGAAACTCTTTGCTTAAAGACGTAAAACGACCGTCGTTAATGGATATGAAGTACCTACATAGGTATATAAGTTATTTTAAAACAATTACGAGTGTCGAGTGTTCTGAGAGTTCAAATGGATTTAACTGCACACGGATAGTCCGTATAGTGAATTTGATATAATACACATATAGGATAGGGTTGCGAACGGTTTCGTTCGAAGATTAATCACCACTTTAGTTAGGTACACACGTGTCGTTTGTAGTATCTATTGAAATATTGAAATTTTGTTAGATCGTCGAGCTGTGTGTATACAAAACAGAGATTTCACATACACATAATAGAATGTGTGTGTGTAGGTGGTACTCTGTGTACTCTGCGTGTAGCGATTCGGATTTGAAACACATCACTGCAATAGTCACGGGGGGATGTGTAATGGTCCCCGATTGAGAACGAATTTGCATACGCATCACGTGCACACAACGGTAACATATATAATAAATATATATATATATGTATATGGAGAGACAGGGAGAGTTTTTAACATTCTTGCACCGGAAGATTCGTATGGATTCGTGCGTGTACGTACGGAAATTCCGCTTTGCTAGACAAATAACCGACCGCTCGACGGTAAATCTAACGAAAAACTATTTCTCTTTCACTGCGTGTATAAATGTGTTCCAAAACCAAAAAAAAAAAATGTGTTCACCGTCGGGCCGACACGTTTGTCTCGGAGAGAAAATGAAAATTTCCTAGCAGCACGTATGCCGGCAGCCCTCTTATTCTTTCTGTGCCTATAGGTCGGTCGATAAAGCGCCGAAGCCTCCGCAAGTCGACGGTCTTCTGATGAGGTTATTATTATTATCTATCTCTCTCTCTCTCTCTCTATCTCTTTCCGCCTCGATACGCTGGAAGTATATTTAATTTCGACAATTCCGAATCGCAACACGATTTTCGCCATTTTTTTTTCTCCACCTCCTCCGCCCCGAAGCTTTGATATTAAAAACGCCATAACTGCTAACCGATTACCGATTTTGCTCGGCAACAACCCCCGGTCGCCAACTCACACCGTCGGGTACGGTGTAAAGGAACAGAAGAGCTTTTTTAGCAATAACACAGAACCGAGTCTTGGCCGCTTAAGTCCGGCAATTAAAATGGAACGCTCGTAGACGCGTCACTACTGCACTGTTAAACATGGGCAATTAAAAAGTCGAAAACAATTACAACAATATTATATTTTGTAATTATAATGTACACACAACAAAGCCAATAACTACTACGAAAACAAGACGCACTACAACAGACAGTAAGTATCGGCTGTTTAAATGGCTTCTACTAAACTTGTATTGGAATATCGAGTGTTTTTTTTTTCTCCATAATTATTCCTAGTAGTATAATTATTGTTGTCGTATTCGTTTTGTAAACAGTTCACGTATTTCTCCCCGGCGCGACGACAAAAGGACAAAAAAAAAAAAAGGTGTATAAGGCCATATACCTTTTATGTACTCCTTATTTGTTATTCCATTAGACGACTGTAATAACCAACTTCTATTCAGTTAATTGAGGCGCCGAACAAAAATAATTACCAACACATAGTAGACGAAGAAAAAAGTAATTACAAAAATAATATAACTACCACTGGGGGCGCACTCGGAATTGGAAAAATTCAATTATGCAACAATACCCACACCGAATGAGTATCCGTGAATTATAATATATTTTTTTCTCCCTAGCAGAAACTTGTAAGGGGAAAAAAGCACTACGTTCTTTGGATGGTCTAATTGTGAGTCTCTTGGTCGTACTGGTACAGTTTCCAATTTGCCTGTCGCCCGTCACGTACCCGAAGACCAACACTTAAGCACAACCAAACTAATGTATATTCATTATTTATTTTATAGGCTGCATTTTAAATTACGGAGGTACAACTGAAAGACATTCAAACAACGGCATTGGATCTTCCCGAGTTTATTAACCGCCGGCAATGTTGCTTGGACGGCCATATCGATCGCCAGCGCCGAAGGGCGAATAATATTCTTATGTTATTTCCATTTGCCGACAATAAGACCAGGAACCTGTATAATATAATGATTTTGAATAAAATATCACAAGGCCGTATCGAAGCCATTCGTGTGGTAGAGACATATTATTATGTCCAACGAACTTTATCGTGTTACACCGTAAACCGCCTTATCAATAAGTGTTCTCGGTTTTAAAAACAATATGTTGTCGAATGCGTTAAGACCAAAGAACAATAACACCGTGTAGCACGAAAAAAAAAAGTAAAAACAGTCGATAAAAAACTGTTTATGGCACACAAATATTTTTTTAAGACATTTCCGCGATATTTTTTAAATATTAAATTTATACTTATAGTTGTGTGGGTAGTAAAATGACAAATTAGTATTGAAACCCTACTAAATACGTTTCTTAAGTATGATACAATAACAAGGTCAACTGAATAACTTAATAACTCTAACGCTTTAAAACGATATTGATTTGTATACTGCCTATTTAGTAATCACGTTGAAAATTATAATATATATAATATCCATCTTATAACAATTACCTAACCGAATGGTTTTCAAGCTAGTCATATAGTTTAAACGCAAAACGCACTATGAACTGTTAACCGTTAAACTCGTTGGGTCGTTAAGGACGACTAGTTTTATAGTATCACATCGCTTTAGGCGAATGTTTGACATACAGGAAAGGTCAACGGTAAACTTTAAGTATACACATGACGTCATTTTTGGTATAGTATTAATATGTAAAACAACCTACTGTCGTGCTCGCTAGCATCTACGTACTGTAATATAAAGTATGATTATAGTATACCGGATAATGCAATTTATTTCTAAACGGTGAGATCATAAAACCCTGGCAACCTTTTATCATGATCAAAGTAGTGAGCAATGCAAATTCATTGCTAATCGGTTTTGACCCATACCGCGCCAGGTAAGCATTCAAAGCGTTAAATTATTAAAATATTATGTACTCTGTTCTACCCCCTGGGATGCGTGAAGCTTTAATTTTTGTCCCGCGATCCTACTCTAAAAAACAAAATTTAAAACTATCACCCGATATGTTTTTGCTCTAAAATTGTGACTTGATGGTTTTCAATTATTTTAACGATGAGTCTATTCAACGATCAAGTATAATAAAATAAATAAATTTGACTTTTGATAACGTCGGTGGTTATCTTAGTAACTAAAGCATGACATATATGACATATAACGTTTGACGCTGATTAAATAATAGTCAAAGAAAAGTAGGTAAATCTCTTGTGACAAACTCACTTAAAAGATATATAACAATGTCACAATATGGTATTGTTATGAGTGCAGTAGTAAGTACTCAACGCGCTGTTATGCTCAAGTATTTGCCATTTTATTTATATTGTACGGCGAAGTAAGTATAAGTTAAGACTAGGAAATGACAAGCGATTGCCACATAACCCCGAAATGATCATCGATTTGTCAAAAATATATTTTGTGGGAACGAGTGACATGATGTTCTGTACAGTAATTATTATTAACATTTTTATAACGCCGCCGAGTCATATTCAGCCAACATCTCAAGCATATCTCTGATTATACTCAAGAAAAAAAAACGTTTTGCACACGAAAGCTTTATAGACTACA